AGGAGGAGGCGATGTGCAGACTGGCGCTGTGTAACAGCTCTCCTGAGGCCCCGAGCAGGCTGCCCTGAGGTCCTCAGCACGCGCGGGGTCCTTATGGCAGCCGACTCTATTTAAAAATGTAAAACGCTGGTATCGCCGCTTAGTATCGGGGCATTTTCATTAGTACGCTTGAAAATGCCCAGTATCAGTACCTAGATAGATATAGAGCTAGATATAATTTATATTTTATTGGAGCATCCTTTGCTTTGGCTGCCTAACAACATTTTTTTTCTGTAATGCACCTAAAATGCAAAGTGTATTTTTTACGCAAAGATAAAGATTATCATCCCTAGGTTTGCAGCTGTTTTCATGATCTGGGAAGAATAACGGTTTATACTTCCCAGATAACTTTTCCTGTAGTTAATGCCGAAGGCCCATGTGCATGGGGTCTAACCCATTGTCTTGCCTTCCTCTCTCTTCTCTAAGGGTTTGTTCACACCAGTAGCTGCTAGTGTGTGTGCCCATATGGTCTCTCCGTGGTACGATGCAGTTGTACCACGCCTCACTGTGGGGGGTGAAGGGGTACGGCATGTCATGCTTTAAGTGCACACGACTGCAACGTGGTGGTGTGAACCGAGCCCACCCATGAAAAGGCAAATTACCCTGTCTTGTGTTCGGGCTGCTCTGGAAAAAATGGCCCGCACAGCCCGAACACATATGGCGTGATTGAGCCCTGAAGTGACATTGTGTTCCAGTGGAATTGAGTGGGGGGGCCAGGCAAGTAGTTACATGTTGAATTTTGTAATGTTTGATTTTTAGATAATTGTGTCCATGTAGTCGCAGTCATACTTTTATATACAGGGAGCTAGGCCAACATTTTGTTGAATCTCCCCCTTACCATATACATTTTCTGTAGGACTTCCATAGCAGGGATTTATAGGAGAATCAGTGTTACAAGGGTGTTGCGGTCTAATCTTCACAGCTGGAATTTTTTATAACATGTACTTTTACAAGTTCATCACTCTTATCAGCTTCTAGCCTATTATTCTGTGCAATGCTGACCGACCTTACATTCCTCTGCCATATGTGAGGTGTGAGTATTGTTTTCATCATACTGGGGTGCGCAAAGTTTCAGCAGATTTACTCCCCCCCCCGCCCCCAGAAAGCGGTCTGTTGATAAAAACAGAATTATGTTAAAGAGCACTTTTACGACTATCAGCTCTGCCCTGCTTCAAGACGCCTGCCATAGCTGATAGAAAATGCAGAGGTCCGAGATGACATCACTGGGATTTACAGTGCAACCACAAATCGGAAATTGCACTGTGCCACAGAACGCCCTTGTAGCACTCTTTATAGCAAAATAGGAAGTCCAGTGACGGGTTGGTTTAGCCCCATCAGCTGATCACTTGACCCACCTACAGCAAATGAAGGTTTAAAATGACACTGTTGGCTCCAACCTAGAACCTCAAACAAAATCTGCACCTCCTGAATGTCGGGCCACATCAGTGAACTTTAACCTCCCTGGCGGTATTCCCGAGTGTAGCTCGGGGTTACTTTTCCATATCATAAGCAGTTACCCTGAGCTACACTCGGGAATGCCGCATAGCATTTACTTACCTTGTCCCTCGAGCCACGCTGTGTTCTCCGGCCGATGCCGGCATCCTTCTTCCGGGTTCTGTCCCTTGCGAGCGTACGTGTAGCAGGGGGTGGAACCGGCGGGATATAAAAAAAAATTGGAAAAATAAATAGACCGAAAAATTACATGGAAAAAAATAAAAAATCATGCCAGGGAGGTTAATGTTACAAGTCCTTAGGGTGACGAAACAAATTAATGTGAAAAGAGTGGAAATTGCCTTCCTTCTATTGATAAGCAACAAATCCAGGACCACACTGGCAATGCTCCATGAAAAGGTTAAGGCCTGATTGGCAAATAAACAGGATCTCCCTGGATTTGATCCCAACGTTACCTATCCCCCGTGGCCCTGAGGACTTCCACCTAGTCCTTGCCAGCCCCATGTTCTCAAACCCCTTAAGGACACTGGTTCTTCAATGACTGTCCCAACCAGTGTGCGGTCTACTTATATGACAACATGCACTTAATGTATGTTTGCCAATTGTTCCTTCATCTCTTCTGGAAAGTAAATTCACCGATACTTTGGGTGTACCACGACATATGCTGTTATCTTGTGATGTGAAACAGATGTTGATAAAATCTTAACATTTATAAAAGATAATAAAGAATTATTAAACTAAAATGGCCCTGTGGCTGAGAGCATCTCCTGCAATGCCGTTTTAAGAAGGTGCATCGTCTAAAGTGGGTAATGTGTTGCCTGTGGATCTGTTTCTACATGTTTTCACCCAAGATTCAAACCACTTTCAAGGATCCAAACTTTTTCACATTAAATCATATGAGAAAATATGTGACTCTTGGGTGAAAACATTTTATAAATAGACCCCCCCTAGTTTGTGTTTCTTAATGCAGTAGACTGCGAGTCACACCATAAAAATTAGTACAATAAATAGAATAATCTCTTTGGGAGAAATCGTTCTATATATAACAATAAATACATATTGTAGAGGGTTCTAGAAGTGGTTTTGTAACCATACATTTGAGTCCTACAATAAAACGTAGGGTGTCTTGTCTATTGGTGAACACCTGCTGTATGTACAGTTTCGTGTAGACTACAGGTTTTATGTAATTAACAACCCCCGGCTTCTGGCAATACTCAACGCTGTCATAGAATTCCTGATAAGACTTCACATAGTTCTCGCATCCCCCTCAGTCCTGAAAATCTTAATGGCTGCCAAAGTTCTCTTTAGGATAGTATAGAATCCATGCCAGATGCCACAATTTGACGCCCACAGATATATTCTGCAGGTGGAATGTTCTGTGGTTGTTTGTTCTCCCAAATCCTACGGAGAGAATGTGGATTGTACTGTACTATCGCAGTTATGTTTGTTATGTTTGCTAAAGACGACTGAATATTTCCAAAGAAAAACATAGAAGGGATGTAAAAACCATCAAAATCCTAATACTTTGTATCAGTTCTATCACTAAGTGAATTAGGGCCAATGCGTTCCGGCCCGATTGGTGCCTGAATCCACTGGATCGCATTCTGTCCGGCATCAGTGCCTGTGTTCCGGTCTAGGGAAGTCGGGAAAAAATGCTGCATGCACTATTTTTTTCTGACTGCCCCGGAACACAGGCACTGATCTGCCACGCGTTGCGGTGCGGGCGATCGCACTTCGGACGGTGGGCGTGGCTCCGGCGCCATTGACTTCAATGCCCCACCACCCTCCCGTCTCAAAACATAGTGAGCCGACCGGAATGCGATCCAGTGCATTCTGTCACCTTTTGGGCCGGAATGCACTGGGGCTGGTGTGAACTAGCCCCCAAGGGTCATGAAATTTATTCATGATGCTCGGCACCGTGCCTACCTCCGCGTATCTATTTAGTTTTTGGACCATGAAACACCAAGGCATAGGTATAAAGCAGCCCCGGGTGCTCGCCGGCTGGCTAAGCCCAGGATTGGGTGAAACCAACTTGGGCAGGACTCCGTGTCACTGACAACATTTTCAATGAATTGGTTCAGCATGGAATAGAGTGCGGCCGGATACTTCCTTTTACTATATACCTGTTTGGTCAGAGCTCCTTAGTTTACATTCCTTTTGACTATAGGGCAACATTTCTTTCATGTTTAGCACACTCAGGAGCTGGTAGACCACTTCTGTTTTCTCCATGAAGTTATGCACTTGATGGGGCACCAACTGGTAATCTTCAGACAGCCTCTCGGGTCAGACTTGCAGCTTCAAGAGTCATCTTAGACAAAGAAAGAAAAGCTGGTGAATGTGGTTCATATAGAAGTAAGATGGCATCGGAGTAATTATTTTACCCCTTAGTGACACCGCTTCCGAAAATGTTTTCGTCATTTTTGCTGTGTGTTTGACCATTTCCATCTTCCTCATGCATTGCACCTACACATATTGCATAATGTTTCTTTAAAGGAAAAAATGGGCTTTAATTTGATGTGACATATGCATATATACATTCTTATTTTTCTAATAAATGCAAAACAATCCAGTTTTTTTCAGTTTTGGCAATAATAATGTGTACGTAATTAGTGTAGCCAAGAGAGTAATTCATAATAGATTCTTTTGTTCTGATTTACAGGGTATATCATATATGTTTGGGAGTTATAGGTCACAAAATACAATTTTAGAATGTGGTATGTTTGTCTCCTAACTTTAATAGTCTCCTCTGCACTATGTTTGTTTGTTTTCTTTTTATTTTTTTTAACTTATTTTTTTGTTGCAATTTTCACTGCAAGGAATAATAAACATTTTTGCTTGGAGCTCTTCTCTAAAATGACATGTTGTGGGTGGGTCCAGTTCGGGTATGTGCAGTGCCTGCTGAGGTCCAGTGGTCATATATTTAAGAGGAATTTACAAAAAAAAATGGAAATAAATATGTAAGGCCTCACCGCACCGTAAATGATTGGGTTGCTTATCTTCTATAGCCATTTCGCAGACGACTGGAGGTGAAATATGGTCTCCTAGATTATAAGGTTGTATAGCAGTACAATTTTCTCAGCTGGGTGGTGATGCGGGTCCAGTCTGTAATGAAAAGTTTCTGTACGGAGAAAACCAGAAAGTCACAATCTCCTTGCCAGATCTGGACTAATCACAGGAGCCAGGTCGCCAATGTTCTTTATATGTTGCAGCCTGCGCCAGACTTTCGAAGTTCTTTTAGTTGATGTCCATGGAACTAGCTCCTAAAAAATGTTTTAAAAAATCCTGCGGGCTCTTGGATTGGACCGACTGAATTCCATATTAATTTGTCCACCTCTGCTCTATGCAAAGGGTCTTCTGACATAGCAAAGAACCCCTTAAAATGTCTCTTTTTATAATGACATATTTTGTATTTAGTGTTATGTTGGTATGCAACGGAGATTAATGTTTTATGTTTGTTGTAGCAAACCTCTTTGTTTTGACACACGTTTTTTTTTTTTTTTCTTGTTTAGGATCGGTTAAGATTGTGCTATGAATGGTGATTCCAGCACAGGGGTGGTGACCTCACCACCCCCTACAAATGCTCCCCACAAAGAGAAGTACTTTGACCGGGTGGATGAAAACAACCCAGAGTACCTTAGAGAAAGAAACATGGCACCTGACCTCCGACAGGACTTCAATATGATGGAGCAGAAAAAGAGAGTTTCTATGATACTTCAAAGTCCGGTGAGTTGAGGGGGACCAAACCAATGCAATTGCTGCAAATAAATAGACCATGATGGAAAAACATTTAATTGTTCACCCCAATTGACTAGCGGCATACATTATTTTATTTTATTTTTTTGAAACTACAAACCTTATTTGTCCAGAACGTTTTCATGACACTTCAAAGCCTGGTGAGTGGACGGGAACAAAACAAAACGCTGCCATGAAAAAGGACATGATCGAAAACATTGAATTGTTCTCCTTGATTAGCAATTTTTTTTTTTTTCTTATACCCTTTTGTATTCTTCTTCTTTTTTTTTTGGAACTACAAAGCTACCCTGTTGAGTGTAGTGTTCTAGCAAACCGTTTGGCTGTAAAGCCCTGGCAATTGTGGTTTAAAAATAAATCTGGAATCTGAGGCATCTTAATTAATGTGAATGCGAGTTCACCTCCTGCAGGTAGCAGTGATGGTCGTGGAGCTCGTTTCTTTTTTCCAGTCATGAGTTGTACTCATTAAATCTTGGTGTTTAGTGGCACCTCAGGGCAGTCCAGTAATTTAGTCTTCAGGGTACATGTTAATCCCATTATGTGGTGAATCGTCTTTTATTGTTGCAGTTTGAGATAGATTATTAACCAGTATAAGGTTTATGTGATTCTAATTGGTCTTATTTTATATTGACGGAGGACACAATCAGCTTGTTTTATAAGGGAACATTTCACCATTTTTGGCTAGGTGGTTCTAGAAGACCAAATTACAACATGTCCCTTGCACACCTGTTGTCTGTTATGTAATTTTTGTTGTTGTTCTCAGAAGATGAACATGTCAAACGGGCTTTGATGAACGAGCACAGCGTGGTCCAGAAATGTTGCATTATTAGGGTGACTTCTCTGAGCAATAAAAATATCTTGGTGACAGAGACTTACTGGTGACATAAGGTCCTCAGAGCCATCTCTGTTTCTGCATTGCTATACAAGTTTCCATGCTTCAGGAATCTTAAATGGGGGCCACATTTTATTAAAGGTGCCTTGATGTGGTGGTGTGTCTTCTACCTGTATTTGCAAATGTATGTAAATAAGACCTCTGTTCTGTTTTTAACCTGTAATAGCTGAAACAAATTTAGGTTTGTTTTTTTAAAATTATTATTTATTTTATTTTTTACTGACTAGCTGAAAGTGTGTCGGGGACTTCCTTTGTACTGTTTTTTGGATCACAAGACCTGCTGAATAGAATGCCATGTTCTTTGGCAGGTTAAACTGTTCCAGTTTTTTGGCTTCCACTTTGCATTTAGCTGTTTACCATCCAATCAAAACTTGACAAAAAATCCCTTTTATGTAGTGAGTGCTGCCTTCCGTCTGCCCATCACTTCCATCAACTTCCTGCATTCCCAGTGTGCTTTGCGTCTCTTTCCCTGCTGCTTGATGTGATGCAATCTTGATTCCTCAAGACTATATATGCCATCATGCATTGCTTCCATCAAACAATGATAATGTTACATTGTTCAGATGTAGAGTTGTAGTTCAGAAAGAAGTCTCGGCGAGAGCTGAGGCACAAGGTAGTGCGTATTCACAGGGCTGAGTGAAATGGTGTCCGTGCATTGAGGAAGTCAATCCTGTGGGCATCTTCAGTAAGTAAGTCTTCAAACTTCTAGATGGATCTGGTTATTAGGAACTGGATAGAACTCATGGAAATGTAATGCAGAAATACATATTTTTAGTTTTTGACCATAGATACCCTTTAAAGTCCTTGAGAGCACACAGTGTCAGTTGTGGTTTTGGACATTGAATCTGGTTATGACCATTCTGCTGCCATTTTTTTTTTCTCAGACCTTTTAATTCTGTTTTTTTGTATCCATCCTTTTAGGCCTTTTGTGACGAACTGGAAACCATGATCCAGGACCAACTCAAGAAAGGAAAAAATCCCACGGGGTTATTAGCATTACAGCAAATAGCAGACTTTATGACCACAAGTGTACCAAGCGTTTACCCCTCAGCCCCTCAGGGTGGAATGGCAGCATTAAACCTAAGTAAGTGTTACCTGGAGCTAAAACTCTCTTGTAGTGGATTTGTTTAGATGACTATTCTAAATGGGGGGGGGACAAAATAATTAAAGCAGACCTTTACCCCTTGACTAAAAATCACATCAACATGCAGCTCTGCATGCCGATATGAAATCCTCTTAAATTCATTAGCAAAACAAACCTATTTTTATTTTACTTACCAGTTCTGGCACAAATTATATAATTGTGCCCGAGTGTTGCATCCTGGGAAGGTTACATCAGCAGAGCATTGCTGGGAACTCTCATCTGTAATCTCACAAGATCTCAGGGAAAGCCATTTTCCTCCCCTGAGATGATGGGCATGGTCACATGTCCTAGTCACATGTGCCAGAGTTCCAGGAAGTAAAGGGAGATGGATTCATCTGCCCTTATTAAGAATGGGGAAGAAAAGAGAAATAAGAAATACAAAGCCGGCAATTATCTAGAAGTATCTGTCTGTAGATTGTCATCACTAAACATTTCTAAAGGTGTGTTTGTTGTTATTTGAAGATAAGGGTAAAGGTCCTCTTTAGGCCTGGTTCACACCTAGGCCACAGCGTTTTTACACATGTTTTTTATGCATGTTTTTGTGAGCAGATTGTAGCTCATCGATGTCAATGAGCAAAAGCACATGCAAACGCGCGTTTTCAAGAGTTTCCTATTGAGTCTATGGGGACAGAATGAGCTGTAATATGCGCCCACAAAAGCTCCTGTACTTTTACCAGAGTCAGGCGTTTTGATTATTGCAACAAAACGCTCAGATGTGAACAGGGCCATGGAAATTAATAGCATATTTTGTGAGCGTTTTTTAGGGCAGAAAAAGCGCTACAAAACGCTCAGTGTGAACCAGGCCTTAAGGCCCCATTCACACCTAGGCGTATTGTAATATGCGCGTCTGTCACGCTGTTTTTTTAACCGCGATTCGCGGTAAAAGTCGCGCGACCCCAAAGGCGACTTGGCTGTAGCCCAATGGAAAAACGCCCTACAAAACGGCCCAAAGTAGTCCCGGGACCTTTTCAGGTGTGGGCCGTTTTGTAGGGCGTTAGGGACGGGTGGAAATACGCATAGGTGGGAACGAGGTCATTGACTACAATGCTATTTATTTTTTCGACCGTTTTGTAGCGCGTTCGTCGAGCGTAGGACACGCTACAAAACGGTCAGGTGTGAACGGGGCCTAAGTGATTTGTTCTCTTCTGAAGTCCAAAATTATTGCCACGTAAAAATTCTTTATTTACCATATACTATATATTCCCAGATTTTATATATAATTTTGTACACCTTTTAAATGTTTGTCTTTTAACCCTGACCATTTTGTTGTTTTTTGTTTTTTAAACGTGCTCCGCTTATTGAAGTAGGAATAACAGAATTTCATTTTAGGTTTTTTTTTTTTTTTAATGTTTACTGCATCATGCCGTCTACAATTATTCACATCAATAGACATGCTGGAGAGGCCGTATCAATTTTACAAAGCAGGAGTCAAGCTGGCCATGCACTAGTAGATTTCCAAATGAAAGAACTTTCTTCAACACCCCATATCATCATCACACTTGATGAATGTGGAACAAAATGTCGTTTATTTTAACATTCGACTTTGGAATAAATGGAGTCTTCTGAATGAAAACCACATTTAATTTCATTTGTTTGAGAAAATGTTTCCATCCTGCTCCTTTTTTGTTTTTTCATCGCTATGGTCGAAATCGATCATCACTTTAACCCCATCAACTAATAGAAAGTCGAGCGAAAGATCTTTTCATACGATGGTGTGTTTGGAAATCTACTAGTGTATGGCCCCCATTCACACCTGGAAGATTTGAAGCACATTTCCAGAGGTGCTACAACTTTCCATACTCAGATTTCCATGTTATTCTATTGTGTACAAGAGCTTCTTTGGGGAATGTTTTTGCACCCAAAAAAGCTTCAGTGGGAACACCTGAAAACAATGAGGGGATTTTATCAAAATCTGGAGCAGCTGTGCACGGCAACCAATCAGCTTCTTTTTTTTTTTTTTCGTCTGATCTGGTTTTGATAAATTCCCCTCAATGTGTTTTTTATGCCCGGCAGCCATCTTTAGTAACTACCTTTCCACCGGCTAAAGAAAAAACACTCCAGCCTGAAAATGAGTGATAGACGTGTCTACAAACCCAGGCGAAACAACCACAGACTGCAGTGTGAGAATGTGTTCTTGTAGCTTTGCCCAGACATTTCAGCAGGAAGAAGTGTGTGTGTGTGTGTGTGTGTGTGTGTGTGTGTGTGTGTGTGTGGTGTCTAGCTATTTGCTTAGTAGGCAGGAAAGAGGAAATGAGTAGAGAGGAACTTCAATCACAACCTGTCATCAGAGGAGGAAGACACAATTACCGCTAACCTCAAGCTTTGCTGAAAAATGAATTGCAGCACACGGGTACACATCGTCCCGCCATGGATCATCTTCACTCTGACCTGTTTCCCCCAATAATGGGCTTGGACATAGACTATGACTAAGCCCACTGTTGGGTAAAACATGTCAGAGTGAAGAGGATCCATGGCGGGACGATGTGTACCTGTGTGCTGTAATTAATTTTTTGGCGACGCTTGCAATATGTGACTGGACTTGTTTTCTGTGAGTACCTGCTGATGTTGGGGCAAGACGGGCTTGGCCGGTGTGCAGCCGCCATTTTCTCTGGTGCTGTGAAGGAGTGGTGATATTGGGCTATGGAAGGGAATTACCTGTAACACCTGCTGTGGACATGATGGCTTGTACACAAACCTCACACACTGGATGCAGAGGTGCATGTAAAGTGTATGGCACCAAATCATCTGTCGGCTGGTCTCTTATTTCAGGGAAACACCATACATGATAAATTCAATGAATGGCCCTGCAACTTTGAGTGTGGCCAAACATTGCAGGCATTGATCTATTCGGTTCAATACTTTCAGGCTTGGCAGTTGAGAACACACACACCAGGCGTCCCTTTCTAAACGACAGGCTACAGCTATATCTATATTATGAATATGAGAGGGAATATTGGGCTGACTTATAAAGCGTGTTCTGTGCTATCAGATTGCTTTGTCTGTGCAATGCATGCACTGCTTGGTGTAGTTGTGCGTTTTGCGCATTGCCAGTATCAGTGCTGCGGAGGACATTTTTTAATTTTGCAGTATTGACAGACAAAGATAAAGCAAGGTCACTTGAAGAAATCTACACCAGAAGGTAATCTGAGGCTCATTCATCCACTGCGGCCCGTTCAATGCAACAAAATTGCAAGTCAAGGTTACAAAATATGGCATGAATAGATGCCATATGAGGGTCTGTATAGAACTGACCCTCACTGTTCTAGGTTTTATTAATCTACTCATTGTTTGTTTTACCTCTGGGGGAATTTTATATGAAAAGCAGACTTTTCATTTACAAGATGTGTGTGTGTGTGTTATACCATTTGCGCAAGGTGTGAAGTCTACCTTCTGTAATGTACTCTTTCTTGGCATAACTTGGTGTTGCTAAACTATCATTTAATGTTACAGCGCTCCCTCCAGCCTGTCCCCTCTTCCGCTACAGCATTGGAATGTTCCTCGGGCATCCTCCTATCTATACACTGTGTATAGACTTGATGATTTACAGGACCTTAGACTGCTGTAAAGTTGGGGGGAATGAGGCTCCAGGGACCGGTCTAAGACCCAGCTGGCTCACAGCATCGGGGTGAGTATCATTTTTTTTTTTATATACTCGAGTATAAGCCGTCCCGAATATAAGCCGAGGTACCTAATTTTAGCAAAAAAAACTGGGAAAAAGTATTGACCCGAATATAAGCCGAGGGTGGGAAATGAGGCAGCTACTGGTAGATAGATACCAATAAAATGACATTTAATATTTATTTAAAAGAAAAATAACCTAGCTCTGTAAGTGGAAAAGGGGGTACAGGGCTACATATCATGTACTACGGATCATTTAACCCATTCATGTTAGCAGAGGATAATTGTAAATCTATTGTTCAGTGCATTCTATATGTAGTATATAGTACA